CTTTTTTTTTAAATAATACGAACAGTTTATCTGGACGACTACTTTACTCAAACAATGTGAAAATTAATACATATTTCCAATTGTTTTGACTGTGTAAACGCAATGTTATAGAACTATCAGCAGTGACGTATGTACTTACGTGCGTCAAAAGCTGAGTGTTGGTCGTTGGTTCGTTGGTTCGTTGGGTCCGTAAACGCCAGGGTTGCCAATATGACGCTCTCTATGCAAACACACGCAGTCTTCTGAACTGTCAGATTCATCCTTGAGTGGAACGTACGCAAAGTACCCATTCTGACGCGCCATTTGGGCCCTTTCTCTTTCGAAAGAACCTGTGGCTGCTATTACCTGCCGACTACTTCCTGTTCTCCAATTTGAAGAAACACCTCCGAGGACGAAGATTTACGAGTGAGGAAGAAATCAAGGCGGCAGTAGACAAGCATTTCGAAGAAAAAGACGGAGAATATTTTTTTTTTTTAACTGGGTTAAAAGCCCTCTATGATAAATGTAGGAAGTGCCTTGGAGTAGAGAGAGATTATATAGCAAAACGATATTTTTATGCACTTCTATCAGCGGTTAATATCTTAGGTTCAAAACCATAACCAAACAGCTAGGCCAGGCCCTGAGTCCCAATTTTCCCGGTTTTATTTGGTGTTTTTTTTTGGAGCTACATACATACATACATATCTGTGTTCGTATGGAAAAGTAGCTTATGTCGAAAGGCCGGCTTTAGTATAATGCGGCATTGCCTTTATTTTTTAAACGACAAGGAATTTTTTGATGAGACTTAAAAAGAATATTGACTTGCTAGTATCGGAACTATTTCTTGCACGTTTATTTGCTAAAAGTTGTTTAACGGCTTAGCGCCCGTAAGTCATTCGCAATTGTATGCTGCGAATGCCGATTTATACTAAAACCAGCCTTTCGACATAAGCTACTTTTCCATACGAACACAGATATGTATATATAAGCTCAAAACAAACATCTAACTTGAGTCGATGCTTGAGATGCATTAGACATAAAACTTTCACAAAAAAATAAAATAAAAAACAAATTGCGTATCAAGATAATGCAAAACCTCGTGTGTGAGGTTTGCCCAAATTTTACAGGAGAGCCTTAGAAACTTTCTTATTCCAAAACGGTTCTCTCTTTCATCTCTAATTATCTCTGCCTTTTATCCCTAAATATCGGTATTTTCATACGAATGAAAAAGGCTCGATGCCAGGAGCTTCCGGTGAGCTAATATCGCCTTTGGCACAAATGTCAGTTAAGAGGTTTTGCGCTTTAAGCGACGATATGCAGGTATTGTATGTATGCACAATGTACATACCTAATAAATACCAGTTTAAATGTAGTCTGTTGAGTCGAGATCAGCTAACTGACAATAGACACAAGAAACGCGGCGCAGTAAAAGCGTTGTCACAGTACATTCGTTATTACCACACGCCTACACACCGCAGCTGCATTAAGTCCTCCTCCCCACTGGACCTCTGCCAGTTATCAACTTTCCAATGCGTATGCACTTAAATATGTAAGTATGCATGATTATTAGGGTGTCCCAGATGTTTTCCCCGAAATTCGATGCATAGCCTCCAGGCCTTTTTTATATGAGACAGTGAAATTAGTTCCCCTCATTTGGAAATCGTAGAGCTTTTGCTTGAAAAAATCTTGATAAACTTGTCTTTATAAATAATTTATCAATAGAACACAGAATTGGGCGGATGAAAACAGTATAATCGCATGGTATAATTATACCAGAGGGTAAATTCCCGTTCTGCGTTATCGTAAAGTGATAGAAATAACACCTTTAGACCGCATTTATTTCGGTGTTAATTTTATACTTTTCACTTCACTTAACGATAACGCAGATCGGGAATTGACCGTCAGGCGAAGTAATTAGAGCGAGAAGAAAGATTTTGACACTGCCTTATTTAAAAATTTGCCTATAAATTTTGACTTGGGAGTTAAAATCCTGGCATAAGCAACGGAGTGGGTGTAATACAAAATTAGTTTTACAAGTTTTCAAAAATAGGGGATAAAACTGTCGTGATACATGGGAGGGAACATTAAGGCTAACTTCATCCAGGAGAAGCGGACTAGAAATTGAGCCTGTCAATATTTTTAACCATACAAATTTTGCCAAGCATTTCCCTGCGACTGACAAGTGTAGGAAGATGAATAAGTTTTAATCGGCTCGTATAAGGCGGAAGGTTATATTGAGAATCCCAACGGAAATTTCTTAAAGCAAAAAGTAGGAATTGTTTTTGAATTTATTCTATCTTGTCTGAGTAAATTTGATACCTTGGATTGCAAACCACCGAACCGTATTCCAGAATCGGTCTAACTAATGCTGTAAAACAGAGTTTTAGTGATATGAGGGTCACTAAATTCTTTTGACCATCGTTTCACAAATGCAAGCACCCTTTAGCCTTGTTGACCGTCGCATTAATGTGAAGATTAAAATTAAGTTTTGGATCTATTGTGATACCAAGGTCCACAAAATTGTGTACCTGTTTATTGCGCCATGGTATAATCGATACTTTCACAATACATATGTATGTATGTATGTTTTTATTTTTCTATACATGCAGTTTCAAACCCTCCTAATAATTTGGACTCTAAGAAGAGAGATTTTCTAGGTTTATCTTTGTTTTTTAGTATATAGTACGACTCTCTCATTAAATTTTTAAAAACTTTAAAAGGTATTAGCACTCCGAACAAAGCTCTGTCATCCAGGAGTTGGTTTCAGTTAGTTCAAATAAAAAAACATAGGTATGCATGAGTTTCGCATTCGAGTTTCTGGGACACCTTAATATCCATAGATGCATGAATATATGTACATATGTATCTGTGTTCGTATGGAATAATAGCTTATGTCGGGAAGTTGGCTTTAGTATAACGCGGCATTACCTTTATTCATTAAACGAAAAGGAATTTTTGATGAGACTTAGTAAGAATATTGACTTGCTAGTATCGGAACTAATTCTTGCACGTTTATTGTCCAAAAGTTCCTCAACAGCTCGGCGCCAGTGAGTCATTCGCAATCGTATGCTGCGAATGCCGCATTATACTAAAGCCAGCATTTTGATATAAGCTACTATTCCATACGAACACAGATATGTATGCACATATGTATGTATAAACACATTCTCCCACTAAGAGTCGAGTATACTTGTGGGCCGCGGCGACTATGCGCCACAAATCAATAAAAAGCAATGTAGCCCATTGCAGCGTTAAGTTTGCCGACACCTCGCACAGTGGAAAAATTAGAAGCAGTCGGCGTTGAACCTCCGTTTTCCATATGGGTATTTCCAAACTGGCGTTATGTGAGGCTCCTATGACAAAATGTTAAAAAAAAATAATTGACAAAATAAAAATTTTAAAATGGTTTTTCAATATTTGCTTGACAATTAAATGACCGCTTATTCACAAAAAAAATTACAACTGTTGGTAGTAGCGATTTAAAGATATTAGTTAACTTATGCGCTGGCGTGACGTTACAAAAAACAGAACTGGATTTGGACTTCGATTACAAAGTTGCAAAACTTTGCAAATTGGGGCAAGACTATTTGTATAAAAGCTTTTGTATTAATATTGGAAATGTTTAAGGGCAATTTTCCAAGTTTTTAATGTAAAAATATTTTCTGCTTTATGCTAAATTATCTGACTTGACGTTACCTGGCGTTACGTTACTTAAATTTCCATTGAAATTGTTCTTAAAAGAATTTTTAACGGGATGAAAACATGCATTTTTGGTCAAACGTACTTTTTGTTTTGACATCAGCGCCACCAGCGGTTTAATTTTTTGAAAAATATCTGTCCTACTACGTTTCAACTAAATGTGAAACAAATCAGAGCATAAATACGGGTTTTTAAAATACCTCGACCCTTAAAAAGAGGGCCAGTGAACATATTCCGAAATTTTGGCAATATTAATAGTATTATAACTAAAATCCGAAAATCGGGAGTAATCGGTTTATTTTAACACATACCTCCCATGCAAACTTAACCCCAAAAACGTCTTAAAACTACAACAAATGCCATCATTACTATATGAGGTTACGTTAAAAGTCGCAAATGTGAGGATTTTTTTTTTCAGAGATCGATATGGAATATTCCGGTATTCCATTTTTTTTTATAGTAAAAAGGCGTAGAAAGATGGATTTCCTTTATAAGTTTTTGTCTATAATAAGTGTCAAAGTTAGTATTTATAAAGTAGCATTTTTGTCTGCTAATACATATTTATTAAAATATTTGCTCGATTGCCTAATTTTTTTCTCAATTTAGTGTACGAAATGCTATGTTTTCATATGAACCTACAGCAAAAGCAATAAAAACAAAAGTTATAAGAAAAATACATTGCTTAAGTAAACTAAAATCTCAATCAGTTTTAGTTGAATAAAATTCTTCTGACTGCTGTTGGTTTTATTTTGCACATAATTCAAATACCACTTTCTTAAGCGAAGATCACACGATTTGTACATTTTTACCGTCACCGAGTGGTGTTGTTTAGAAATTTGAGTTCAGCTCAATAAAAGAATTTCCGAACAACACCACTCTGTACCTGCCACACCACTCTGTACCTGCCAAAATGTACAAATCTGTGCAAATGTACAAATCGTGATCCCTGCTTTAATCTAAAGCATTCAAATATAAAAAATGAATATTCCAAAAGTTGTATTTTTACCGCCGAAATGCCACTGTGCGCCGGTTGGCTAAGGCGAAAGGGAGAAGAAGAGTTCGGGATTATGTTACAGACTTGATCGAATACTCAGTGCTGCAGACTGCGTGGGTGGATGCTCGCCTACTTAGGCGATGATGAAGAAGTATAGAAAATTCGTTGAGATTTGGTTTTTCCGTATATCGTTAAATTTTTGGCTTTCTTCATTTTAACTTTTTTATCTTTGTCTTGGTTGTAGCGAGACGCTCAACGCAAGAACTCGGCTTGTGCATGGATATTAAATATTAGCGGGTGCTTTAAACAATGAATTACGGGTATAAAATTCAGTTTACAGGAACAATGGGGTTTTTATGCTGTTTTATTTTTAACACACTTAAATACATACATATACAATACATACGTACGTATGTTAAATGCATATAAACGCTACAGAACATAATAATTTTTGCAGTTATTTGGTTGTCTTCCGCAACCTAAAATTTAGTCCCTTCATTTGGCCAGCTATAATCTATCAACTTTTAAATGCTATATGTAACCAATGGCGTTGTCATTTCGTCAAATTGTTACTTCAACCACTTTCGATTCGACATAATTTTGCCACGCTCTCTCACACGCAGCCACCTGGGCTTCAACCTCAGCCTGCAATTTTCCGATTTGATACTTGTCCAGTTCCAATTTCATCACCATATACTCCATACTGCGCTTTCCGCCATTAACACCGCCAGGCGGTTCCTTAAGCTTATCCGCTAATTTTAAAAATTTTCGCAAATATTCGAATTTGTTGGCGGGGTTGGTGGTGGTGGTGTTCGAGTTGAGTGCCTCAGCTGCGGAAGCATCCAGAATATTAATGTAGTGATTGATCATTTTCACCTTCGACGACACAAAATCACTGCGTCCTACGACTGGCCATATCTCCTCATTTAGCTTGGTCAATGCCTCTACGATTTCCTTCAATTTCTGTTCAGTTGGGTCGATGAGATTCTGCTGCTGCAACCAAAGGTCATTCATTGGCTCGAGGAGCGGCCCAGCCGTGGTTGTGGCTAAAGCCAACTCATTGGGGCGTGCTGTAAGTTCTTCTTCTAGCGGCTCATCAGGATGGAGGTTATTTTTCACGGTAACACGATTATTTTCAAATATTAAAGTTTTATTAATAACACCTTCATCCTCAGAGGAATCGCCAGATATTACATGAAAATCCAATGCAAAGCGGAAGAGCACATTGGCATGCGCAGGCTATTTAATAAAGCAAACAAGAGATTTGCATTGTTAATGTTGTTGTTTTCTTCTCATGACGAGCACTTTGTAAACAGTTTTTCCTTTTTAATTACCTTTGATTCTTTGACGATTGTAGTGGTAAGGGCTAACAATAATAATCGCAACCGCAATTGCATTGCGATGCTGTAATCCAGTGTTTCGAAGACAAACTAATTGAATATTAAAAAAAAAAATGAATTTTTGAGGCTAACTGGCGTCATTTTTCGCTC